TGATAATCTCCACTTTTAACGGTGATATATGCATATTGAGTTCATGAAGATTCATCTTGAGAAGCAAACTTGTAGCCTGTAAACTGAAGAGGGGAGGGGCACGTGGTGGAACAAGTTCCTCCAACTCAATAGTGAGAGGGTAGAAGGCCTGTCATGGGCTGGGTTTGAATGAAACAATTGCCATGGGGAAGCTTCGTACCCACAAATTTGAGCAAATGCTCTGCCTCTAATAGCATCATTGTTTATAGGACTCTTGGTTTGTGAATGAAGACACTGAAGAATTTTGCAAATTGATTGCGAGTAATAATTTGAATGAAACCAACAATCAATTGGTAGTTTGCTACACTGGGGGACTTAAGATATTCAAGTCAAATTCGACATGAATTCAAATTCTATTTGGTCATTGTCTCATGCAATCAATTTGCCTATAAAGTTAAACTGTAGCTCGCACAAAATGCTCGAGGAACTTCAAACATAAGATCTTATAGCTAGCATAGCAACGGCCTTGTTAAACATTCCTCTCACACCTCCAAATATAACTCCCTTCAATCCGTTGCTACAAGCATACTTCAAAGAGTTCGGAAAATAGTTTGCCAAATTAACCAATAAATCATAGAAGGGATAACCCGTATGTTAAACCAAACACAAATGCATTCATTGCTTACAACCTAGTCAACTTGTCCAAACCATTGACAAGCGCAATCTGTTGAATGAGACCAAGAAAGTAATAATGTGATGAAAATCCTATACCAAGAACTGATGTAGGAAAGTCAGCATGCGATGAAGGCAATGTCCTTTGATGTGTTCTAGATGAAATTTTGGTTGCTCCTCAACAACTAGCATCACACTATGACACTAGATATTCAAGATGAGGTATACCGTCAATGGCAAAGTGTGTGAATTGTTTAGTGGTTGCATCGAAAATGTGATATCTGGCTTAATACTGAGAGCATTGAAGTTGCAAAAAACTGAACATGCCCACTTGTGCAAGATCATGTGGGTTTAGAATGGTATTTAAATTTTAGGTGTAAACATATATAGAGTAACTTTTTCTATTTGGAAATATTTTATTTTGCTAAGTGTCCTGTGATGTACTTGATATGGATTTGTGCCACCTTATTCTGGAGCATTTTTGAAATATTGATATGGGAGCCATTTATGGCAGCAAAGCTAATGTGTATGTATTTGATTTGGAAGCGCAAGGAATTTGATAGATACCATGCGACCCCCATCAAGTTCTCTGTGAAATCAAGATGTCATAGCCATCTATTTTTCGGTCAAGTCAACTAGATGCACACAAATAAGCAACTGTCCGTTTACAGTAGTGGTTATTGAACCGGGTCTCCAAACATCTCCAGTTGCTTTGAGCTCAACTGCAGAAAAATGCTCATATTAGTCCACAAGAGCTCCCATCAGAACTACCTATTTTCTGAACTATTAAACATTAGACTGCTCTCATTCTTAGAGAATCCTTGTCGAATCTTGCACATTATAAATTGCGCTTGAAAGAGCATTGAGCACTATAAGATATAATGGATGACTTATTCATTACACGATGCATGTGCTTGGATAGCTATGCTTTGAACTAGATAATAATTACATATTACCAGCTTAAAAGGCATGTTGGATAAATTGGAGGGTGCTATTGCCTTTCCCAAATTATACTGACGAAGAGGTTGCCACTAAATTCTCACTTTTCTTTGTGATGAATGGAAGATTACGTTGAAATTGTGGGATGTTCTCTATGAATGGAAATCCATACCCTTCCATTTATGCAATGCATAGAATATTTTTTTGCAACTCTGAACGAGGTATTAAAACTTTTCCCAATCACTTTTTTTGTTGTTTATTTTGACTATATCTTGGTCTAGCTTTCTATCTGATCATTTTCAAAACCTATAGAACATTTCATCATATTTGCTGAAACAATTTTTTTTTAATCTATTCAAATGCAAGTTCGCCAACTTCAGTTTACATTTCCTGGGTTTTTTTTCATTAGTAAAGAAGGGATTTGTGTCAACCCATAAAAAATCTCGGTATATCAGAAATGGATGACTCTTAAATCCTTCAATGGAATCCGAAGCTTCACCAGGCTAGCCAATTTTTATCATTGATTAATCCGCAGATTTAGTGTGGTGATGGTTCCAATCATGGACAGTCTCAAACTTAAATAATTTTTATGAATAGAGGAACTACACCACCACTTTGACTCAATACTTTGCCTAGTTTGGCACTTATTTGGCTATTTTGAACTTTGACAAGCCATTTTGAGTGAAAGAGGATAGAATTGTGCATTCAATCGGTTCAATTAGATTGGTTGACAGATTTGTTAAGCAAATTGAACTAAATCAAATTCAACAAAATTGAATCGACGAAATCATTAATAAAACTATATTATATATATGTATATTTAGTTTATGCAATATTTTTTTGTCTTAAATTGAAATCCAAATCACCCTTTATTCAAAACCAAAAACTGAACCAAATTAACTAGGGATATGTTGTTTAGTTTGATTTTTTTTTATTTAAAACAATTAATGCATACTCCTAAAGCTGGATACTTCAACTATAAGTGTTAGTATTGTTTTGTTGCATGAAGATGGATCCATTGCTTTAGTCATTGAAAACCTCAGTGCTCCAACAAAATGATTGTATGTGGTTATCCTGGCACTCAACTAGTGTGAACCTTATATATTTTTTTTACCAAGGTTTTATCCTAGATGTTGATCACACACTACGGTTTTTAAACTAAAAAAATTTATGAAAATTTACATACATAGCACACAATTCTTATTCATTTACATATCTAACACTTAAACTTTCATATGGACATATGTAGCACTTTGATGCTTTGAGCCTAAACATGAAAAGATCTGAGTCTTTTCATGTTAAATACATAAGAATTGTGTGCTATTAAAGATTTGAGAGTTATGTGTCTAAATATGAAAGTTTAGGTGTAAGACATGTAGAAAGTTTAGGTGTAAGACGTGTAAGACATGTAAATACATAAGAAATGTGTGCTATGTATGTAAATGCCCCAAAAATTTAAGCAACATACATGCTTGTTGGGCACTCTTCTTACATAAATTTACATTCATTTTCATATACAAATCTAAAAAAGTATAATTGCTGCGTTAGAGAGACGCTTTAGTCTTTAGATTGCCTTGGAAATTGAACGTTTTGACTTGGAGCTTCTCAAAGCCCTCTATAATGAAGATGAGGAAGCATTGATGCATTAAAGCGACGCTTTAGTCTTTTGATTGCCTTGCAAACTTAAAGTATTGAATTGGAGCTTCTCAAAACCCTCTATAGTGAAGACGAGGTTTCTGTTGGCCCCTGGAAGAAATGTGATAGCCATGTTCCTATTTATGATTACTCCATTCGACAAGGATTTTTGTTCAAGGAAATCAACTTTGTATTTTCAAAGCAGCAATGCATGACCATTTGATTCGGGGTTTGCATACTGGAGGCCTTACCACCAATATGGGAATTGACAAGATGTTATCTTAAATCTGGTCATCATTTTTCTGGCCAATGCTTTGTTGTGATGTTTTTCGATGCATGGAGTATTGCCCAATTTGCCAAGCTTGCAAAGGAACCACTTAGAACACATAAATTTTCACTTTCACTTCCAATGCTAGAGACAATATGGGAAGATTTTAGCATTGATCTCATCTTGGCGTTATCATGAATCCAGCATGGCGTTGATTCAACTATGGTTGCTGTCAATCGTCTTTTTAGAATGGCTCATATTGTTGTTTGAAGGGGACATTCCTTGCTAGAATCGTTGCGAGACATTTCCTTTTTGTCGGAGCGTTCCTTGAAGATATTCCCCACAGCCTTGACATCAAATCGTGAGAACAAATTTGTTAGATGTTTTTGGCATAAGTTATGGAAAATTTTGCAAATTGATCCTCATCTAAGTTCTTCTTACCATCCATAGACTAATGGGCAAACTGATGCTGGCAACTGCACTTTGGATAATATGCTTTGATGTTTTGTGTGAGCTCAACCAAAATAGTGGGGTGAAGCACATTTTCAGGTCAAATTTTCTTATAATTCCATGATGAATCTGTCTGCATGAAGAAGTCCATCTTGCATCGTAGTATACACTAAAGTTCCAAATTATACAGTAGATCTCACCATTTTTCTCGAGTGGTAGAACCTGAACATCAGGCGAAAGATTTCGACTTCATGCTAGAAAGCATAAGAAGGCAGTTTGAGTCCTCTAATATGCTATACAAGCAACCTGCTGATGTCCACTGTCGACATTTAACATTTAATGCTGGAGATCTCAAAATGATACGCCTGTATAAAGTAAGGTGTCCTGGTAGCTATTCCAAGCTCAAGCCTCATAGAATCAGGCCATTTTTGTGGCTAAAAAATTTGTTGATAATATTTTACATTATTCCCCTTCTATCAGAGCTGCATCTCTCTCAACTTTCAACATTTTCAATAGATGTGTGCGCCAGACACCTGCCAAAACAACGGTTGCGCTTACTAATCGCAAAACGGAGCACTGCCTCACCATTCCATAAAACAACTGTGTTATTTTTACTATTTTTTAGTTATTTTGCCTCTGCATATGTTGTCAGCGGTAAATTGGTTTAGTATATTGTATGTTTTTGGTATTCCATCTGATTGTAATGTTTGGTGCCTTTCTCTTAGTAGCAGAACTGGTGCTTTATTTTGTGAGATTTGCAATTGCCATTTTGCGTCGGGCTTACAGCTTTGATCGGTTTATATTAACTGAGATTTTATTGCACTAATTATCATTAGTTGCATTTACATACATACCACAATTCTTATCCATTTACATGTCTAAAACGTACACTTTAATATTTACACTCATAACACTCAAATCTTTATCATCACGTCAACAATATCACTTTTATTATTTTCTTAAAGTTCAAATGCACCTTTTTATGCATAGGTTTATAGCATCAAAGTGTCCTAAATGTAAAAATCAAACTTTTATATTTTATTTATTTATTTTGCAGGCAGAAATCAGTCGTCAGGAGGCCAGGCTGAAAGTGGAGAGGGAAAACCTTGAGAAAGAGAAGAGTGTGCTCATGGGTACTGCTTCATCTCAAGACAACCAGGATGGTGCACTTGAGATCACCGTCAGTGGAGAAAAATACCGCTGCCTCAGATTCTCTAAGGCAAAGAAATGAGGTTCTTCATGCAATATATAGTTTTACTCTGCTGGTAAGGGGAATGTTAGAATTTTGTGCATAGCATATCTGATTAATTTCTGTTTGATTGTGATTAAAATTTGGAAAAATAATTGAAGGTTTATATTAAAGGAAATGTTGAAATAACATCTGTTAAAGATAAGGTGATTTGGATATGTATGATAAAGGTTAGAGGAGGTTTCCACTAGGGGTGTAAACGAGCCGAACATGAGCATTGACTCGTTTATATTTTGAGCTCAAAAAGTGTGTTCGTGTTCGGCTCGTTTGCTTGGGGAGCAGAACGGGAGCCGTTTTGATAACCATAATTAGAATCTAATCTAATTTAATTGATGTTAAGGATTGGAGCAAAATTTAAAAATTATTGTTTATATACATCATTTTGAATCTAATTTAATAATTTTTATTATATTTTCTTTATTAATACTTTTAATTGATTATAAATCTTTGTAGCCTTGTAGTCAATTAAATTGTTTAAAAATACTATTCATCATATATATATATATATATATATATATATA